CACAGTTCGAAATGCAGCAGTAAAACGTTGCTTTTTGACTATATATCTTCAGACCTGTTCTGAAATCTGACCGAGCTAGGGTAGAAGAGCAACAGCTGAATACAGCTGATTAAGGGTTGATAACGTCAAAAATTCATGATTTTACCTGGGGCAGTCTGAGAGCTTGAATGAGAGCAATAAGTTGATTTTGCCAATCATATGCCAATTACATGACAGTAAGTTATCATAATTGTAAGGCAAAACAATGATCGGCACTACTAACGTGATCTGGAATTATTATTAACTTTTCTAGGCATATAGCAAACTATTTTATCTGTTTGTCGCAGTTAAAGTGAAAAAATGTCCATTTGCCAGAGTTTGCTTTCGTTCCTATTCAACTTTTGTCTCACTAAATGTGGACTCAAAAACGGAAATATTTCTTTCGTAATCTCAAAATCATAAAAGGGATTTGCGGATGTTAAGTTAATATGAACATGTTTGAATCCTCGAAACGATGTCAAGGTGACGACATGGGACGTCAGCTGCCGATCTGTGATATTCTGGGTCATTGTGAACTTGTGAGATCCAGAAAGCCTAGTTTGCACAGCTTGTTAGTAATTTATACATTTGACCTACCGCTAAGTTCCAAAGTGGAAATGAACAGCTAAGCTATCCAATCACTACGAAATCTTGTGTTAGTTTATTAATCACTTAAACGAACATCTCGTCACACAGTTTTTGGGATAAAAATGATGGCCTCGGCGAACAGAAAAAAGATAACAGGCGTTGTTTTATTCCACATTTTTGACTACCCCCCTGACAAGGAAAATAATCCAATTGTACAAAGAATTTCGAAACAAACAAGCAAACTATTGAATGTGAGTGCCCTACTTTCATGAGTACAACACGTCTACTAATTTGGTTTAAGTAGGTTATAATTACATTAGGAATATATTTCTGGCCAGGCATAAAAAAGTACTCAAATTTAAGGTTAAGGTTAGATCTAAGATTAAGGACAGGTTAAGTGCTACGGATAGAGAAAGGTTTTGGGTCGGGTTTAAGTTCAGATTTTCCTATTGTTTACCGTCCAAGTGAACCCAGCCTTATTTAGCCGATAACTTTGAATTACCTATTTGTCGCCTGCCTGCATCGCACTTGCTCATATCTTTCAAATATCCTGGTCTTTTCCGGCACCTAGTTTCAGTGATAAAACAGACATAGGGCAGAAATGCGAGTTTTTCAAATGCCCTTTGTAGACTCCATTGATTGCCGCGTCTACATGCCCTACAGAAAAAATCTAATATTTACATCCTTTCCGTATTACAGAAGTCCCTAAGCTCTACTTTCTCAATGATTTTATGAACTTCATCCTTGTCAGAATAAAGAACCATTAGGGGAACCGATAGATGTACTATAAGAACTACTTCTCTGACCGGGTCATTTGCACTTCAGATTGACTGACCCGCTCTGGCACCGGGAGCTCAAACACCTTACATGCACACGTCATAGTGGCAATCAGGCGGCCACCGCTTTCCAGTGGACGGAGCCCGCGGACATTCAGCTCCGAGGGCAGCCAGTCACAAACTATCACAGATGTCGGAATCACCCAATCAGCTGACTGCGCAGACGCCAATTGGCTGTCGCGTGATTCTCTGTCGTTCGGGCCCTTCCATTGGAATGTTCGCCTATGACTAAACCTGGGAAACGAGGATTCAAATTGTTTTCAGGATTCTTTGCAAAAATCAACGCTTCCCAGTGGTTTTCTTGGTCTTCTATTGATCAGGACGTGATCTAATGACTGTGATGTCTAGCGAGCGCCTATTATCGTAGTAGTTACATTTTCGCTCCTGAGACAATGGCCTCCGGACGTAGTAAGTAGGGCGGAGAAAGAAGAAGGTCCACTTAAAGTTAACATTCCCCGCAAATAGGTTTACGAAATTGTTGATTTTTCAAATAAGGATCGGGGAAAACGCACCCTGGACGATCCAATTCATTCTACGAGCAAAAAGTTACGGAATCGTTTAAAAGTCCCCGTAAAGAGAGGCCTGGACTATATAAATCATGTTTCATATCCGAAAACCTACAAGAGCTCTAGGGCTCAATTCTCAGAAGCCTAGCATATCTTCCACACGTTTTATTTTTGAGTGGTCTTTCTGCTGCAAATCGTTTTCATGTTCAGACCAGCCTAATCAGGATTTAAGTGTAAAAAAGTATTTTCACGATAACGCCGATGCAAGCAGTCATCCTGTGGGAAAAATGAGCATCTTGGAACGCAAAATGATGCATAGGCGTTTTAGTAAACTATTAATGGATGGCTGATAGATATGAAGCTGTCTATAGAAAACCAGCGGTTACTCAAGATGTGACTTTCCTCCTGACGTTTCAGTTAAGTAATTATTTTCTTATTTTTATCTCTCGAGTTTTTTGCTCAAATGCAATTAACACTTCAAATTCCAAATGGAAAATGAGCGGTTTTTGAAGATTACACACGAAATTTAAATTAATACGGCACTTCAGAAGAACAGATGAAGTCTGCTTTTATGGGGTCTCCTATAACAGTGTTTAAAGATACTTCTTAACAAACATACTCGTGTTAATAAAAGCTTTACGATATATTTTTGATTGTTATCATTCCTCCAATTTGCAGGGCAGTTTCTTCCCATACCACAAATTCAGTTCTAACTGTTTCCAAATAAACAAATTCCCAATACCAGACGGGTGGCTATATTTACAAAGATAGTAAACAAACTTTTCGCAGGCCGTCTAAGTAAATGCGTTGTTCGGTTTTCAGTAAACAGCTGCCCACGAGATTGTTTGTTGTGCACATCCAAAATACGGTCGTACATATTTCCCCAATAATGTTAATCACTTTCTTACAACAATAAAGAGGAAAGTGAAAACTATGCCTCGTACATTTTTAAACTTCCGAGGACACTTTCCCTACACCATGAGCTGTCTGTCATTTGCCAATGTTTGTTTTGAATGGCCGGTTTAATGTAACGGTACACTTTCCTATAACTACGAATAATATATGAAAAATTGCCTTTGGCTAGATTTTTCTGCTAAATAACAGGTCTGATCCCGGATACCTCAGTAAACTTGCCTTTCGCAATGTTCAACTTATCATGATCATGTGACAGATAATGTTCAAAATCGACAACGGTATTTTCTACCGTGCGTTGCACAATTATATTACCAGCAAGCAGAACCGGACCTTCTAATTTATCATTCACTAGCCTGGTGTAAACTTGAATCCTGCACCTTAAGGTATCGTATCTAATCTGATTTTGGATTGTAAAAGAGTGAAAAAACGCACAAATTGAAATACCAGCATTTTCCGCAAGGGTTTAATTTAGATTTTGCCTGTAAAACTATATGAAAAGAGGCCGCTTGGGCGGCAAACAAACCCCATACATAAGTTTATGTGGTGCCTTTTTGAAACTTACGGTACACAGGTATAGAGTCAAGCAAAATATTTAGTCCATTAATGCTTCTAGAAAACACTGTTAGGTGCGTACTATCCATCAAGACCCAAGATAAGGGAAGTGCTGAGATTTTTCACGGAGCATTGTGACCAGCATTTGTTCTAAAAAGCATGTCCAGCGACCAAGCTCATTAAATATTGGCCGGGGTTGTAAGACACCCTTTTATCAGGAATGAAATTTGAGGACGACGTGAGTTTCTAGTAGGTGTGTACAGTTAAAAACGATTTGCGCATTTTTTAAAATATATATTTGAATTTATAGAGCTATTGATAGTCAGCAGTGATAACTATGCCACTCAATTAATATTTTTAACTGAGAGCTGTTTCTAGGTGGCCAAAAAAGTATATTTAAAGCCGACACCCTAGACTGACAAAGATATCTTCAGATTAAATTCGCGATCATCACTATTACAACCCCAAGAAATCAATCTTCCCTTATCGACAACTCATTTCAGAATTTCGGTTAACATCTCTTACGACCGGTTCCTAACCGCATTCCTTTGCGTTTGAAAAAAATGATCGCTCTAAGAGGCTTTACGGAGCTTTTATATGCGCTTAAACCTTTCTAAATTTCGTGATAAATTGGCCTCATAGCATGACGATGAAAAGCGTAACAGGGTCTCCAAACTCTTTTTTTATTCAATACTTAACAGATGTAGCAAATCTGTGGACAAGCCAGACCTTAACCCTGTTAATCCTTGGTGTCGAATAGCGGTCAAACCCGATAGCAAGGACCGATTCTGAGACAATGCTTTAATCATATTCTTTTCATCTAACGTTCATTGAAGCTTTTGACGATATAATGAAGTGCCCAGAGAAGGAGTAATTAGACCTGCTGATTTCCACTTAGAAACTGAGCGATCACATTTATTACCGCAAAAATATATGCCACCACGCAGACGCAAACATACCTGCATAAAAACCTCCATATGACAGATATATTATCGCGGTTTACAGAAATGTATATGTCGACCGATCATTACCGAATTCATATTTAAAAATACTGATATCACACTTATCTCAAAATCCAGGAAACAATGACATAACGCTCCCTTTTTTTACGCTTATCAACCTGGTTGCATCCCTGACTACAAGCTTAGAAAAAGTGACAATTTCGTAGGCGTACTCATGCACATTTTCGGCAGTGGTTTTTTAAGGTTAATCTAAAAATTCCTCACTATGATTGATCAGACGGCTCGTTTTCGATCCGCCGTCTTAAAAACTAAACAAAGAAGATATACTTAACACAGAAGCAATGTCGCAGACCATTGTACACTCGGTGATTGTCCAGTTTTCCACATTGGGAAATTTCTTAAAGATAATTTATCTGGCAAACAGAAGATCAGTGTGCCTGATACCACAGCCTGGTTTTCTGCTAGTAAATATGAAATGACCATTGTAGTTTTTGATGCGACTAAGGAAATGCCCCAAAGTCGCCAAGATTATGAAAACAACCAGCATATTTATATTTGTTTTCCGAAATCTTATGCCGTAAATTAAATTCTTCAGTTTAAATATAATAAAGGTTCCCAGTTATTTATTGTTTTGTCGCAAGTTCGTACGGAGGTGGAGGGGCGGGGTCTTTGCTGAGATAGGTTCCGTACTCCTGGCGTGGGTAGGCGGCCTAAAATTTACAATAAAATATGTTTATTGTGGCAAATATTACCTAGATGATTGGATAATGAATGATTGCGCAGTTTAATTTAGCCGGGAAAGTAAAGACAATAATATAGATAACAACAATAATATGAGAACCTGGGATGACCTTATTCTTACATATTTGCCTTAACTCCTGGTTGTTGGACGGCAAATTTCGCTTAATGTACCAAAGGTTTTCTCAGTGTTATGGACAGCCGTTCTGAACAGCTAATAATCCCACTAAACTGTGTAATTATTTACCATTCTGGAAACACAGATGTTAGTTAAAAGCGCAGACACCGGGGGTTCGCCGATCTTGTGTCGCTCCCCGAAGAACGTACTAGGAGTTCGGCTCATCAGTTGGGTCCCCGGCCTTCCCCGTGTATTTCTCCGTATATGAACTCCAGTTTTACTTTGCCTTGTTTACTTTCCAAGGAAACTAATGCGTTTACTTGGAATATATCCTTGAGAACTGACCTTTACATACACGGTCCGAAACTTGGTATGAATATCTGAGCTAGAATCCATCAGCTACGGCGAAATAACCGTGTACTATTCACAAAACGCCGGCAGGCATTTTGGCATTTTTTTAACACATTGAAAACACAGGTACCAACTAAAAGCCCTCTAATTACTAAAGTTGGGAAGGAAGTTAATCACAAAATATCTCCCGCGATACTACTTAAGGGTCGACTAATGCGCTCAAAGCTAACGAGTCTATGTGTTTAATGCCATACTTTTTGTCGTTAGTCGTCATCTGCTCATAAGACGTCGAAAGCACTGAGCTGATGTAATTAATAGAACCCATGTTCTGGCGACAAAACCACTTGACCCTTTCCAAATCCGAGGTTGCAAGTTTCAACCAGTCGTTCGTGTCTACGGTAGAAACATATTGCTCAAACTACCATGATTCTACGTCGGAGCCGTTTCGCTAGTCTGCCAAGTGCCTCATCCTCCACCTACTGTTTGGCAAATACCTCAAATACGCCCAGACATAGCACATGTTACTCTGTCATGAGTAAGTGAGGTTGCAGTGCTCCGACAAGTGCATGACATTTGGAACCTGCAGTATCGGCGGCTTGCAGCTGGCGAACAGAATGAATATAAGATGTGTTTATGTAGCCCCACCTGATGGACACAATACTGTTGGAGTCGCGGCAAGTGGTTATGGTTAGGGGTTAGGGTTAAGGGTTAGGGTAAGAGGTTAGGAGTTATGCAGAACCGCGCATTCCTTATAGCTTTTCTTTTGCACACGACTACTTGATCTCGTCGCCTGTGCATTAACCGGCCCCAACCCCAAAGACCCCAATTACCACCGGTCCCGTATATCAGGTGGCTGGGGTCTGTTTACTTCAGGTGGGGCTATATAACCACATCTCACCAATTTTTTTACTGACTTACGCATTTTGAGATTTTTCTTGGCGATCTCACTCAGAGAGGACGGCGGTAAATGTCGGCTAGCTTTCTACAAACTGTGCATCAATCCAGCCAAAAAGTCTAGCGGAACAAACAGGCGTCCTAAACTGAAGTCAACTAAAAAAATGAAACGAATTTGAATACAATGGCGTTTCGACGACATCTTCACTCAAAGGTTTTCACATTTGGAACCAGATTTTCTGAACCCCACGCCATAGGGTAGTAGATGGGCTGAAGTCTGCATTTGAGAATATCTTGTTGGCGTGCAAAGTTGGGCGAGGCATAAAATCCAACTTACAGGCATGCTCTTAATCCCAACACTGGCTCTGACGATGGCCGTAACAAGAAACGATTTAATGAGATAGCCTGCCAGACTACAGTTCTGTTCGTAATAACTCATGAGCTAAGGGTGTCAGTAGGATTTTACCAGCTGGGAATTCAGTAGATTCAAGATGTCTGTAGCTGTGAGTAACGACAACGCCCATGTGTTTGTCACGATCGAAGGTAGGATATGTTGGACACAATACGCATATTTTGATTTTTCATAGAGCACCGACCTTCTGTTGTCGCCGATAATTCCATTAAGGTGTGCTTATGACAAGTGTCTATCCAAGATCGTTTTTCGTTTTTGATCGGTCGCAGCCTTACCCTGAGCCTCGAAGTTCCGGGGTTCGTACGCGGAATCTTTATATACTGACCTGGATATTGCAGCTTTCTGATATGACAAGTGACCTATCGGCTATGAGGATCGAAAATACAGCGGAATTACGCACGTGGCTATCTATCTGTAGTAATTCTTTGATATTTTATGAGTTTCTGCTACAAGATGAAAAGCACATCCTTATAGGCACTGGCAGTGTAAAGACCGAGTCTTCTTATGGCCGGTTTTTTCGTAATAAAAGTCTTAACCTTTGACGGATATTTACAAGTGTCTCAAAAAGAAATCCTATGCGACGAGCGAAAAGTAACCGAGAGGTTCCCTTTTTATGCAACTTGATGTTCTACGAAGAGAACCAACTCATGTTATAAAGGGATGCGCATAGTTCTTTTGACTTTTTCTAAAATATCGCCCTCCAGAATTAACACGAGAAGGAAATAAAACTTGGTTCTCGCTAGTGCGTTGCCCGAATTATGCTGGCTGCCTGCATCTGCTGATTACCTTAGGGGTCATTTAATCATCAGATGCGTGAAGCGCTGGTTTTTAAGAATGCAGGCACCTAGTGCACTTATTCATTGCCAAAACATTTGTCCGTTCAGAAGTAGTCTATGGTCCTGATAATCTTGAGACGTTTCTCAAAAACAGTGGTCCAATCGTCATTCTCAAATTATTTTTTACATTGTTTTCGTATTTTTGAAAACATTTACGATAGGTAATCGGCCATTCCCGTTTTATTCGCTCAAGTTCTTCATTTAAGTACACATACGGTAGACAGAAACAAACCGGGCGTGACTTTCTCAAGGCCATCCGCAAACCCTGTCTTGTCATGCCCAACGTGCTAACTAGACGTGAACATACCAACCTATTTATTTGAATGTCGGCAGCTTAACGCGGCTAAATGTCGATGGTGCTACCATGTTATCATTCTAATGTGTATTACCAGTCAACGCCCTGAATTACACAAAAGCTGTCTTTGTCGCCTGTATTTTCTGGTCAGATCGGTCCGAAAATCCAGCTTTATGGGCACTTTTAACGACTTTGGATGCTATTCTTAAGGCATGGAATTTACATCGAGCAGTGACAGGAGGTTGCTATATTGTTATGCTCGCATTGAGAAAGGTCGTTCAAACATCAAAATGTCACGCGCATCTACAGGCAACCACCCTATGTTTAGATGGTTGCGTGCTAAGAGACGCCAGAAAACCACGCATTTATATTATCCTGTGGTCTGACCTTTAAAAACAGATTGGGCGGCCAGGTTACATAAGCGAACAATGGAATTTCGCTGCATTACTTGCGTTTGACAGAAACCGGCAACGAGTGAATCTGACCCACCCGGTCAAGCGCTAATCTAATTGGCTGGCCAGACACGCATCTGCACCGCCGATTCGGCAGACCAACGGAGACAGGTGTCCCATCCGCCCTTGTGAGTAATAGTTCCAGTTTTCGGAACTTGGGCGCCAATTAAGTTGTTATACAAACAGCCTGTTTTGATTTGTCTAGATATACTTTGATTTTTTAAACAGGTTGCATTAGCAAGTACGGACACGGGTTTTTTAAATGAAATAAGTTTATCGGCAAGATAAAAATCTCTTTCAAAATTCTGCAAAACTGCACTGGTGCAGGACGACTTGCTAAAACCACAAGTGACTTACGTTTGAAAGATCTGTCTCTACGTTTGCAGACGATTCTTTTGAGTTCTTTAGGATTGCTAACAAGCACATTGTCCGAGTAGAAAAAATGGCGGAAGCAAGTATGAAGAAGACACCAAATGCGGTAAGTGGGATACCAGTTGTTTTATCCTTCCTGAAGGAAAGAAAAAATGATTGATAAGGATTCAGATCACGTCCTGGCTTATCCGCAGGGCAGTTTAGTCACTAAAATGACAATAACAGTCTGCTATGGAAAGCGGGATCCAACTGCAGTGTACAAAATTTGATATAAAATGTTTGTGTCGATTTCGCTCTTGTGATCCTGGATTAACGACTGTATGTGTATGGTACTTTATTGCCTAAAAAATGAGGTTGTAAAGTCTACAGAATCCAAATGTATTTATTTCTTTCTTACATCCCATTTTCTCAACCAGAGGTCGACTTCTCAAAAAGTGGCTTATTAGAACATTAAAATAACAAGTAGATTTTATCCACTGAAACTGAGACAGGTCACTGGCTGTGCGTTCCCCGCCCCCCGGATATGAAGGCTAATAACCGAGCTCTGGTTTGTGCGATCATTTACTAGATGAAACGGCGTAGAGAGTCTATGTACGATAACATTAACTCCGCATGAAGCCGTCTGGCCGCTGACTCATTTCGGAATGGCGTCGTCCTCCATTGGCAGACGGAGGCCTTAGGTGATCATTTGTGAGGTCATGCAAAGCGGCCGAATGATTAATACGAGCTATGGACAGGCGAACAGTTGTTATGTGTTACTAGCGGAATCACTGGTCGAGGAGAGTCGGACTACACTGAGGATCACTGCAAACCTCATGTCATTGGCCAAGCATGCAAACGGGCAGTGCGGCAACCGTTCCTGGGTGCCAATGACATGCGTGCGGGCCTGGTAAATTACGAATAGATGATCATGTTGAGATAAGGGGCATCCTTTTCTGTCACTCCAGTGTCATTGCGCAATTTACAGTTCTTAAACTTGAGGATAAATGTGTACTCAGGCCCTTGCAGCCATTATAGTGAATTAAGGGCCCGCAGGACGAAAGAAGATTTTTAACTAAGCATGTATGATATAAATGAAATTTTCCATATACAATTTCCCACCCATGTACTGGAAAGAAGGGAGTAGTTTGTGGTTACATTTTTGTTCGCTCGAACTAGATTTATCGGAAGTTCTTATTAGAGTGAGTAACGACAAACTAGCAGCTGTATTCTGTGACATTCCCCACTCCAAGTGAACTCAGTGGAGCCTAACTGTTCAGCCAATGTATAATAAGACACATTCAGTCAATGCCCTGGAAACAGTGCACCGCAAGTACCCACTCTACATCCACGTCTCGCAGTCGTCGCACAACCCAACATTTCCGCAGAAAAGTCAAAGGCGTTTCACGGGATAGCATTCTCAACTAACGGATGGGTTTTACATACGTCCGATAAACATCTATTTAAATATGAAAACCCATGATACAACATGAGGTTTAACTGACCTAACTGCGTTAAAAAAAGCGATGTAAATGTTTGTGAAGAAGGAGACACGATCGCTGGGGCAAGAGCCTTATTCGCTCGACGTCTCGAATTCCTGCTCAAACCCCCATCAAAGACAATGGCAGAGACGTGCCCGGTATGCGGATGATGTCGCCGTCGTTATCGACCGGGATCAATCGCTGGCATTCAAGGAACGTCTCACTGCGGTCTTCCCGGACATACAATTTACGATGAAGGAGGTAGAGAACAACCAGCTTGCCTTCCTCGATGTCCTAGCATGCCGAAAGGATTGTGGTTGCTTAGGAAGGCGACAAATACAATGCAAGTAGTGGACTTCACTAGCGAGCACCCAACCAACCACAAACGTATTTGTGTATGGACGCCCTATCGGCATGTTTAAACACGCTGCAGTGAACTAGAAGACAAGATTGCCGAACAACAGTACCTCCGACGGGTATTCAAAACCAATGGCTATCCGCGCAACTTCGTCAACCGGTGCATAAGCAAAATGGACGAAAGGCCTAATCGGACACCAAATTTTGGGGAGCGCTTACGTATGTCAGGGACGTCTCGGAAACTGTCCGCCTACTGGGATTTGGAATTGCAAACAGACCGGAGACAACCATCATGCGTCAGTAAATGAACCCGAAAGACCCGCTGTCACGGCAAGAAACGTCGGGAGTCGTTTATTGGTCTTGGTGCAGTTGTGAACAAAGAAACTACGTCAAACAAACCAAGAGACTGCTCCGAACGCGAATGGCCGAACACGTTGCAGCGGTGCGGAGGAATGACGCCAGCTTTCATGTTGCGGCTCATTCAACGAAATCCGGCCACACAATCAAGTTCGACGAGGTCTAATTCTCGCTAGAGGAGACAACCGCGTGAGCCGCGAGCTGTTTGAATTATGGTTCACTGACAACTGCGACGACCTTCCCCTTCCATACTCAGTGTTGAGACCTCGCCTAGGCGCAGTAATTAGCCCCGCGTGGAGCGTCCAGTTGAACACTGCTCCCAACGCCCGGGTCCGTAGATCAAACAGTCGAGCAATCATCACACCAACATCCAACACAGGTGATGAAACTACAGTAATTAACGACGCGAATGTCGGCCATCAAACAGTCATACATCAAGTTCAAGGACCTCTTATAAAGGAGGGAGCCGTGAATGTTCATAGGTATGCGGTAGCATGGCGACTGCATCCTATAAATACTGCAACCCCTTGTACATGAACCATCCGTATCTGCTTTTGTCTCTGATGATGGGTTCGAGCAGAAATCCGAAACGTCAGGCGAATAAAGCTCTTTTCCTGGAAATCGTGTCTCCTTCTTCACGACTGATTCCTGGGAATCGTCTCTTCGCTTCTATTGGCAATGGGCATTTTATCTGATAAACGTCCCGCGCTTCGGTCATACCGTCTAAAAGGGAGAGTTGGAAGCTTACTTTTTTCTCTACCAACTCCGAACTTTGCGACTTGCTTAAAATGCAAAATCAGTATTTACAAAGCCCCAGTGATCCCGTATAAAGTCTGCCAAACCTCATTTACGATCGAGAGCCATAGTCAAACCATACTCAACTAAAGGCACCAAAGCAGCCTTATAAAGAACATTAGGACAGTTTTTAACATATGAAAAGAAAAACGTACGAGATGAATTCGCCCGAATTTCGTCCCTGTACGATGAAGACAATGCCGGTGGTCAACAGGATTAGACCAAGAAGGAATAGTAGGAGCGCTGGAATGCCACAGCAAAGAGCGCCGCTGCGAAGGACCCTTCTGTCGGAATCCGTTAATGGACCTTCCAGCCGCCGACCCGGAAATCCCACCATGCGATATTCTATTCAGATAATTACTGTTTGTTTGTTCAGTTCAATATCCGATCAGTAATATTAATCCACTGCGAAGGAATGTTTTTCCGCGTCCAATCTGCAAATGAAATTTGAGAAATATATAAGTAATCTAGGTTAAAGTGCCGCCGATGTCTGTGATTAGTTTTGGTGGACATTAACTCTCCGTCCCTCTGCCCGGCAGTATCATTCCGGGGAAAGTTTCGGGAGTCGATCAATAAAGAATCTTCTATTAACCGCTTCCGACCTTTGCACTCACTTCCACTTACCACATTCTAAAGTGAACACTTCGAATTCTAACGAATGCTAATTTTTCAGTGGATTTCAGTGCGCAAACCGTTCACAATTTTCCTGAGCTACCACATCCACCCCCCCCCCCCACAAAGTTGTGGTCACGATGGAGGGTGTGCCTCTACCGGTGGGTGAATTAAAGGAACTGGGACAAGGCAGTATGTAATGCAACAAATGCAACTTACAGAGTTTTTCAAGTTGTTTCACATCCACAGCAAAATGGCCCCTACTCTGATTTGTAAACGCAAGTGCTCGAGCACATTTCTTTACCATTTCAGTCGTTTCATCTTACTCTTTATTTCCTGTTATTGCAGCCTGGTAGACAAAAACCACATCAACCCACAGATTGCATAGCTCTACCACTTTGCGTAGGTCTGTTCACGAGCGGCTAGTCGGTCAGAATAGTTATTTAGACAAAATGGTCAAGGAGGTTACAGGCGTCTGTCTGTTGTTTGTTTTTCGTTCACTGGTACTGATCGAAATCATACAGCTGCTGATCTATCTCATGAAATCCTAACTGAGGGAAAGGATAACGTTGGCGAGGTTGCATTGTGAATCGTCGTGCAATGTAATTGCAGGGTATTTCTATCGTGCCAGGATGTCGGATTTGAATGTGTTTTCTTCTGGTCGCCTTCTTAAACCACAGTCAGTAAAAATGGCTGCATGAGTAAGGGTGAATCTGTCCACTGAATTTAGGCGCCCCTTTTAATTCAAATATATTTTGTAAAAACCGTGTCTAGAGTATTCGTTCCTGTACTCCTGCTGTAGACAATCACGTCATCTTTGAATTTGGCATTTGAAAAATAGGCATACTTTAGTTTTAAAAAGGATTTTAATTATGAGAACTTTCGAGGCCGTGACATGGTCATTTACATAGCATACGTTTAATGGTGATGCTCATGAAGCCTGCGGCGTAGTCCACATTCATTGTGGAGTGTTGTGAGACCTATGTGACATATTCTTAAAAGTAGAAAGAAATGTGATTTTTCTTATGCGAAAAGAATTCAGCACAGAGGTTTCAAACCTTAAGAGTAAGAGATGCCACAGGTTCGGTTCAAAATTATATGGGAACTGAAAAAAGGCTTTATGAAACCAAAATACACCCTAACCTCTCGTATAGAACGCAAAGTGGACGCAATTTACTACTAACTGCGTAAGATTAAGAATATCTTTACGTACGTCGTCTAAAAAATATGTTTAAATTTGTTAGAACATTTAAAAGTAATTGGAAAAATTCGCGCCACATAAGTAGCCATTTATCGTCGAATGTGGTTTTTGCAGACGGCAGAGAAGAAGTTTCTTTAAAAGATGGCATCTTTGCGTGACTGAAGTATTTTTGGACTATTCTGTGCGATGACCAGTATCACAACCCGAGCTAAGTTATCTATCCTAATTAAAGGCACCGTTCAGAGTTCAAATTTGCACTTCATAAGCTAGGCTAGCTACTGCAAATACCCTTACTGAGTGTCGCGCCTTAGCTGACAAGCGTGTGCCTTGAAGCCAGCTAAATTCGATCAAATGTCGCAGCGGGAAAAAACAACAGGTTTTTGAGGATTTTCTCCTTCACGCCTTGTTGCATTTCCCAGTCCTAACGTGTTTATCTCATTCTCCAGATGACAGCGTAGAGGTGTTTTAGAAGCAGAAAACGTCGCTCAGCAACTGTCAAAATACTGACTACAGAGGAAACCTTTAAACGCTGTAATTAGCCAGGTCACGTGTTGCAATAAAAACCATTGCCATTTGGCTCCACATTGGTGTCTGATACGTTAAATACACAGCAAGCGGGTTCTTTCGATGAACTCCGAAAATGCACGGTGTTCATTAAGTCGTTAAGGGCGCACGTATGAGTAAGTTGCTCATGAAATCACATGATAAATGTTTTTTGTACCAGCGTCGTTTGTGTCGCTGTACCAACATACCAAGACCCCAAAATAGGAAATGTTGCTCAATCGAGAAATGAACGCAGTTTATTCTTTCGGTTGAACCATTGACATTCATTCCATCTTAAAATATTTCTTTCACGCATGTAACTACTACCTTGAATTGACATGATTACAAACTAAACAGTTATTATGCTTTTTAATAAACTTCGACAGGTGCCTAAAACGCGGCCACATTTAGTCATTTCCTAGTCAATTGCCTACGAATTTCGTATTAATGTCGATCCCAGTAGGTGAATTTCTGCTTTTTGTCAGAGTTAGGGTTAAGGTAAGGTTTTAGTATTAAGGTTAGGGGTTTAGGGCTTTTTGCTGGTGTCCGTATTTGAGGGTCAGGGTTAGGGTTCTGAGCTATGGTTTAGGATAAGCACTTAGAGTTAGGATTTACGGTTAGGTTTAGTGTCAGGGTTTGGGGTTATTATTTCGGATTAAAGTTAAGGGTTCTCCAGTTTACCAGATGGGGCCGCGTTTTAACCCTCTGTCGAAAATTCGACTAATTCGAATAGAATGTTTTGGGAGGATTAATCTCTGCGATAGTTGACGAGGTGTCTCGTGATCGCCGGTGCTTGGTTCAACCTACAGGTTTATTTTGTTTGAAGAAAAGGTGCAATTTCTTATGGATAACCCATAAAAGGTCTTAATTGTCAACATTGTCTGAGAGGTATTGCGGTTTCACGGAGCAGAGACGCCGTAAAATCTATCAATTTTTAAGATTCTCTCCACCAACATTTAGTTTTACACTTCGCCTCCATTACTGCTGTTGCGTTCTCATAAAAGTAGCTGCACTTCTTCTCGGGTTCACTTAGAGGACTGGTCTGTCTGACTGCGATCACATATAGGCCTACACCCGTTCATCTGCTAGTGCCAGAACGTCATCTTTCGGAAAAAAGGCGTGTGAGTTAAGATTCAAGCCTGCACCTGCCTGCTTAAGTTGCATTTCATTTAGGCCCATGGCGTTTCTGCTTGCATGACTCCTGCAGATGCGCATGACTGGCCTGCAGACTTCTAGTGCATTTTCGGATACTTCGTTTATATAACATGTGACAGTCATAGACAGCAAACGAGAATGTGAGCGTAAAATGAATTTCACTGGTGATACGATAGAAGGAAGGAATGAACAGCAAAATATGGCAGTGGAAAGCCCTTAATGGGGTTCAAATTTACCGGTAAATGGTTAGATGTCAAGAGAAGATGATTTCCTCCTCAGGATGGGTTTGCTTTGGTTCTGACATTCTGAGTAGTGACTTCGACTACCGATCCTCAGATAATGGATATCAGTGTGCACAGCTCTCACTGTATGACGCATTCTGCGTAGGGCGCCACTGAAACAAACCCGCCCTCGATGATGGCTGACGGCCCCGCTTGGTCCACGTCTTCAATGTCTTCTGTCAAGTAGACTCGTAATGTCACACATGGGGAGGGAAAGTTTTAGTGGCGGCTTCTTATGCCTGCCTTGTTTTGTGATAATCGCCTCACATAATGATTGCTGTTCACGAGAAGTTCCAATCCCGGAGGATGGGAAGCCGAAACGACTACTGGAAACGTCAAAGTAAAAATTAACTCCTCCCGGTGAACTCCCAGCTTGATATTTCACTCCGAAATCGTATATCCACTGCTTTTAAGCGGTTGGATTTCAGAATCGATCATTATACGCAACAATGGAAACAAATTTACTCATGCTCCCTGGGTTGTGGTTCACGAATGGTGGATAAAAATAACGTGGAACTGAGCAGTGTTTATTCTAGTATGGAGCATTTCAGACACAGACCATCGCAAAGTGAAAAGCTATGTATAGCTAAAAGAAGTCTTCCGTTCTGTATATGCATCAATGGCCACCCAATTATGATTAAAAATCATCTTTCACCGGCACTCCGAGGTGAAGATCAAAGTGCTGTTTGCCTCTGTCAACCACATGAAATCAAATCAGCACACGATGGTATTTTCGGTATTTTCGGGTCGTTGCAGAACTCATCCGTTTCGCCTTAGATTTGCTCTACAGTAAATGATGACATAAAACAGATATTACCGCAAACTCTTCAGTTACCTACCTAATTGAACTTTCGTCTTTCCTACAGCAAAGAGGCAACAGTATAAGGTAGACTCCAGGAGGCAGTTAAAAATGTGTCTCAATAGTTTGACAAGAAATTTATCTCCCCTCTCCTCAGATTGTGTAGCATATGTGGATTTTAGCGTGAATCCGGGATGCCAGACGGATACATTCTTGGGCTTGCAATAAAGTTCATTTCTCCTCCAAATGGGGAGATATTCAATAAGAGAAAATGTCTTTTACCCGTCGTGACTCAACTTCACTCCTCGGTCGGTAGCAAACTTTCCATATAAGATATTACTGAAAACTTTGATTTTCAAACACATAGCAAACCTTAACCAGTCGTCACATGCTAGTGATATTGGTCAATTGGTCAGACGAAGGTCCACATGGCAGGCTATATAGTGTGTTTTGGATGGATCTGTTTCGGTAAAACCATATTTTGAGTTCTTAAAAGTCAAAAATGATTCAGCTTTCCGGTCCCCTATCTTCAAATCCAGATTCCCCACGATGTGACATTGGTCTGTTGTGGCTTAAACGGACTACAGGCACAGAGGATGATGATGGAATGGCCGTTTATGACGACATCGGCCAAAAAACGTCAGTCGCATTTTGCAGAGCCAGGCAAGCAAGTTAATCGTCGAACAAGCCGTCTTATGCATCCATGCCCTGACAGGCGCAGTGCAGCGGTGTGACCGCACATTTCC